TCTATATATCACCTAATATTAAGAGGAAGATTTTAATAATCACATTACTAAATTTTGATCCCTGAAATTTTTGGTAATGTTCATTTTGTCTGGTTTTGTTGAAGCATTCCCAATTTAGAAAATTAATAAATGAGCAGACATACTCAAACAAAATAAACAGTACATTTAATTCTCATAACTATAGATATTGTAAATGGAATTCTATGCCTTTATTTTAAAAACCTGATTTCTGTTCTATATCCTTGACAATGAGCAAAATTTTAATCAATGTTACTAAATATAAATAAGTATTAGATCATATTATTTAAAAGTGAAAAATCTACTGTACATATATATATAAGTATGATAGAGAAGGTTGTAATTGTGCTTGCTTGTCAATGTTTCCAAAGAATAAGTTGTGTAGAATTTCATGGGGCCTTTCAAGCTCTTTCAAACCAAACCAAGATATCTTATAATGGCTCATCTTTAAGCAATGGATAGAGGATTGATAAGTGCAAACAGATATCTCAAGAAGAAATCTTGTGTCAACAAGAGAACCTTTTACTATTGTAATATTCTTGGAAAAGAAGTGTACTATGAATATGCTGGGAATTGATTGGTTTATTTTGAAAATATCAGAAGTCATTAACAATATTAACAATTAATTTGTGGTACTTCATTGTTTCCTCAAATGGTATATATAAAATATAATGAATATTCTTAGCAAATAAATTCTAATCTACTTAACAAATTTGATCTAAATTCCAGAATCCATATTATCTTTATTACTAATGGAAGGGAAAAAAATAAAAAGTTTTTTATCTATTCTAAAAAATTATTATTGTTGTGTATACTTGAAAATATATGCATTAGAATTGAGAAAAAGCAAAGTAATTTGAAAAAAAAAATTTTAAAATAAGATTTTTTAAAATCACCAATACTGACAATTAATTCATTCATCCAGATCCATTCATTCATCATTAACCTGATTTGAATAAAAGTATTGCAATTGGCCCAACATAGAAATATATAAAATGTTTGGTTTCTATTATCATGATTATTGTTATTTATTTTATTTATAATTAAAAACCCCCGAAATGTATAATAATCTAAATTAATTAATTATTTAATGAGAATAGAAGAAATAAATACCATGAGTTACATAACTTCCAAAGCTTCTTCCAACAATACAATGCCAAGTTGTTCCAAATCGTTTATCAAACTCCCGTTTAATAAATGCTGCTATATCTTTCTCAATATAACATGTTTCCAATGCTTGTCTTGCACAGTCAACAACATCTTGTTGCATCTCTTCTGTCATGTCAACACTTTTAATAACAACTTTATTTTCAGCGATCATTTTTATTTAATTTTTTTAAAGATGATCATTAATGTGCTGCGTCAACTGGCAAAAAATCTTTCCTTATAAAGAAATTTTCAATTTAAAAATTATTAACCAAATTTGTAAGCGATATGACTTTGTCACGCGAAATTTATTCATATAAAACGCTAAAATGATTACATAAGGAGAAAGGGCTCCCACGCCCTCTCACTAAGATCCAATTAATGTGATAATTATGTGATATAAAGAGTGATTTTCTTATAAAAAATGTTATGGTATTGTTGAAGCTATTGCTATAGAACCTTTTCTTAATGATCGCAATGATGATCAAAGTTGGTTGTGGATATTTTTTATTTAAAAAACTACTATTATTACTAATTTGGTTTTTTATTTCTCAAAAATATTTACATCCTTAGAAAATGTCAGATTTTATTATTAATGGAAAAACCTCCCGGAAAAACAAACCAAATTAGTAATGAATTATGTGTATATATATATGTATGTATGTGTATTTAAAAAAGTAATTGAATTAGAAACAAAAAAAATTTTTAAATTAGTTATAGTATAATAATAATTATAACGAAAATTACAATTTTTTTTTTGGTTGTTCTAACAGATATATAATATATATATAAGAAATAAAAATTAATTAATTAAATTAATTAAAAAAAAAAAAGTTTTTGAGCATAAATAAATGAATAATGATACATTTAATTTTTAATCAATCTTTTGACTTCATTAAATCTCTGAGTTTTTGTTTTACTTATTTCAATTAACTTCTCACAATTAGGCGTTCTCAAATTTGTAGCAGCTTCTAGTTTTTCTTTATCAGAAGAAAACCATCCTCTTGCATCATTTATCTTTTGTTGCTTATGAATTGCCTCATTATTACATCTTGTACTAAGCTGTTTAAGAAAATTTATTTCCACGCCATCTTCAAACAATCGTAATTTTCGTGGATTATGTTCGAACTTTGAGAATTGATTTGGGTCTACAAAATAAGGTACATGTAACGAATGTGTAAATCGAGATTGTGTATGGTAATTTGTTGCTTGAAGCGAATATTGTGGTAAAGATTCTTGCATAGGCGATAGAAATATTGTAGAGTAGAATGAGTATACAAAAAGAATAAGAAGTGGTAGTAATTGAAAAAATGTAACTGTTGTCGAGTTCATTGGTTGTTGCTGATTATGCCGATTCTGTGCTGATGCTCTACGTGAATGAAAATGCCTTGTACGAAATCCTGGCCCAACAAAAGTTGCTGAATGAAAACCTTTAACATTTATTTTTTTAAAAAAAAGGGATGTATTTATAAGTATGTAATGCACGTTTGTATGTATGCATAATATGCATCTTATCACTAATATCTGGTTATTAATAAACATACCATCACCACCACCATTAAAGAACATATTAAAGATTTCTTCTGGCGATACATCCTCTGCGAAAAAGGCACCATTAGTAAATCCATTACTAAATCGTGCACCGTTAAATTCAGAACGAACTCCATTATTTCTTGCATCGGGATCTGCTCCATGTTCATCGTAGAAAGTACGTTTTTGTGGATCACTTAAAACCTGAAAAGCCTTACTAACCTCTAAAACAAAAAAATTAGTTCATCATTAAATATACTTTTAATTTAAATTTTTTTCATTTACTTTAAAAAAAATTGTTTTTAATTTTTTAATATACTTTTAAAAGCTTCGTCAGCACCCGGTGCTCCGTTTTTATCAGGATGTGTTTGTAAAGAGAGCTATTTTCAAAAACAATTAAATAAAAAAAACCTTAATTAATTAATTAATTAAAAAATTGAGTAAAAATGCATATTTTTAATAGAAAAGTTCTAGTCTAATTACCTTTCTATAGGCTTTTTTTACTTCAGCATCACTAACATCTTTTGTTATTTCCAATATTGCATAGTAATCGCTAACGTCACAAGCTTTTATTCGATCAACAGCAGCCATTTGTTCTTTTGAGTAATCTCTAGACTGCCTTCCCTGTTTATGCTCTCTAGAGGATGAGTTTGCTGAAGAATGTACAGACATTGAATATAGTAGAGTTGAACAGATCGGTAAAACAAAATTACTTGTGGCAGAGACAAAAAAAATTTTTTATATTACTGCTCGATTGTAAAAATATATTTTGGGATTTTGGGAATACTAAAAATATGCAGCTAAAAAATTGTTTCTATTAGAATATGACGATCTATTTTTTTATTCATTTAAAAATGTATTTTATTCAACAAAGTTCTTATCAAGATTTATTCGATATATATACATTCATAATTATTGTGCCTTCTTTTTCTTTAGATTAATTGATGCACGCTTTCCTTGTCCTATAATAATAATAGTGATAGAAATGATCAATTAAATATTTAAGATCTCAGATATGTCAAATAACAATCCAAAAAAAAAAGAAAAAAAAAGATATTATATAACATCATAATTTAAAATCCTTTCAACAAACCTTTCTTAGGGGCACCTTTTCCTCTCTTCTTTCTTATTGTAAGATCTTCTAATCGTTGTTTTTCTTCTTGATTTATTAATTTCATTTCTGGAAACATATCAGTGATTTGACGAAGTGTTATCAATTTTGTTGGATACCAATTGGTCACTGTAGGCCCTATCAGGTGTTGTCTAAGAATTTTGTTTCCAGTACGTTTACTATCAGGGTTATAAATATTGTTAAAAAGTTTGCATGTAAGTTTCGTTAAATTCAATAATCGATCTCTATTTGGTTTTACTAAATTGCTCATTTTTTTTTTTTAGAAAAAAGCATAAATCCATATCCACTAATTTCTGCAAGGTTGCACCATTTTAGATTGTTTTTGGGGTATATTTTTGAAAATTTTGGTACATTTTTTGCTGTCTTGATATGTGTAACTAGCACCTCAATTTGTTATTTTTGGAGTAAATATCCCTCCTTATTTTACATTCTTTTTGAATTCTACTAATCACTTTTATTAGTAAACCAATCACTTTTTTATATATACATATACAGTGAGTAGGATCTTGTAGGATTGCAAGTAGTTAGTTGAAGGAAATTTTATTTTGTAATTTTGTAATTTGCTAATTTTTTTTAAAAATTTTATATTGTAGTAATGAATATTGAACATAGTAGTAACTCAGACATATGCAACAATTTATATAACTCAAAAGAATGGTTTAAATCAACATGAAGCACAAAACATTCCAATTTTCACAAGTATACTTTAAATGTTCTCACCTTCTGAATATTGTTTTTCATAATTTAAAGGATCATTAATTTTTAATGACATTTCATCATAAAGTTTAAGGAAAAATCATTAACCTTTCCATGTGATGAGGGTATATTCTTAAGTGTTTTTAAAGACAACACTTAAAGATATTCACCTGTTAGACATTTTTATTTGTTGAAGTTGAAAATTAAGATGACAAAAGTTTAAATTTTTTTTTTATTAATTTAATATTTTTAATAATGAAAGTAATTAATTAATTAAATTACATTTTAGAAATTAAAAATATATATATGCAATTAATTGTAAAAAGGTAATCTAATTTATAGTTATTTTTTTGGCACTTTATTAATTGATTATAATTATAATATAAAAGATGATTCTCATGTTCCAAAATTTCAATTACAGTTTTTTTTTCCCTTCCACCATCTTTCAATACTTTTCTAAAATATTTACTTATTTGTATAAGATTTTTTTTTTCAACAGGACTGCATGTAAATGCTTTAATTCTATAATCATGGCAAATCACCATAAATATCATACATATGATGAATCAACACATAGATATAAGGAGTCCCATCATTATTTGTATATAATCCTTTTATATAATTTTTTTTATGTGGATCTCAAGTTGATGGTGTTAGAAATTTAGTCAATCATAATTTTGCTTGACTTTTGAAAACAATTGGATTTGTTGTAAGATCTTGTAAGGCTGTATAAAGATCATCAAAGTCATACCACAATTGATGAATAATTAATGCTCTATTTTCAGGTAAAACACTTTCCAAATTATAATTTTTTAGAACTTTTAATTTATCTTCATCCATAAGACTGGTACAATTCCGATTCCTTGAATCTGTACTTTGCCAGAATTCAAAATGTACACCAATTCTGATCATTTCTTTTTTATTTGTTCCCTTATTTGATCAGAACTTTGGTATTTTGTTTCAGATAACATTAGACTCCAAAGTCAGACAGTAATATGAAGCATTAAATGTAATTCATCTGGAACCCAATGAGTTAATGGAATCATAAAGAACAAAGGCAGATACTTATGTCCTGGTAATTGGATTTTATTATTTCCATTTTTAATCAACAGACCCTTTAGCATTGAAATAAGTTTATCAACATCATTACACAGTGATCATTAGCCTGGTGTTGGTTAATGCATTTATTAGCATGGATAAACACTTTCAAAATTTCCTGATGTTAAAAAGAATCAAAAAAAAAGATAAAAATCATAAGATTATAAAATTAAATAAAAAAACCTGTAAGATTATAAACTAATAATAAAAAAATCATAGGATTTGAATATTTATGGCAATATGACAAATTCATTTAATTTTTTGGAGTGAGGTGAAATTCTGATGGGCTAATTTGGATTTTGTACATGTGAATTGCAAATTCATTTTCATGTACAAACTGTAAGTGGAATTTATAAATATAGGTTTTAAATTTTTTTAATCAAGAAAACAACAACTCGGAAAATTGCATCATATGCAATAAATCATATAAAACAAAAAATAGTTCAGTACAACATGAAAAGAAAAAACACCTTGAATATTGTGAATATCCTTCGGATATTCCTTCTCCTGTTCAATACTACTTGACACAATTTAAAGAAAGTTTAATTTACAATATTAAAAAAAAATTGAC